TTGCTCCCAAGATTGAGAAAACGCCGCCCCAAACCGAAGCGGCGCGTTGAATACACCGCCCCATGCGGGGCACAAATCAAATAGAAACAGAGGTCAGGCCTACGTGGCCCGTGGTAGCCAATGCTCTTCGAGCCAGGCCCGTTCGGCGTCGAGGGCATCGCTTCGACTTGGAAACGGCCCGAGCACGGGGCCAGCGACCGGCGACAGGTCTGCCGTCCACTGGCCGTCAGCAGTAGGCTCGACATGGCTTCCCCGGGCGATCGCGAGCTTGCCCAGAGCGTGAAGATCGACGAACTCGCTGTACAAACAGTGAGACGAACCATCCGGTTTGACGATAATCTGCATGCCTAGCTCCTTTACCGGGGCCGGCGCAGGATGGCACGGCGGGGACGGTCCACTAGGTACTGGTCGAGATTGGCCTGGACAGCCGACATCTGGCCGGCCAGCCGTTGCCGCAGGGATTGATCTTCCCGGAGCTGCTGAGGCAGTACGCCGCGAACCGCTTGTTGGGCCTGCTCAACCAACTCTTCCAGTTCCTGATTCGAGCCAATGTTCAGTTGGCGGAACCGCATGAAGAAGGTTACTAGGTTGTCGATCGCCGAATTCTTGAACACCTTAGGTTTTCCGTCCTCACTGCCACTGAGGCGTTCGGTGAGATGGTCGACCAGTTTGGTCAACTCCTCGGTGAATGCCGTTTCGGCGAGGTGGACCGCTTCGTCGAAACGGGACTGCATCCTTTCACATTCTGCCCGATAAAGACCGGGATTCAGGGTCTTGAGGTAATTGGGCGGTTCGACACTGGGAAAGTCGTGCTCGATCGCAAACTGGCCGACGAGGCTGGGCGGATAATCGCCTGGGTGAAAAAGCTCACCCAGGCGTCTCTGAGCAGCGTCCCGCAGTTCGTCGTATTGACGGTCCAACTGTTCGACCGATTCGGCAAGCTGGTCTCGAAAGACAGCCATCTCCTGATCGAAGGCCGTGATGGCATCCTGACGAATCAAGCGAATACCTGGTTCGGGAAACGGTAGCGAAGTACCTTTCCAATACGCCAGAGCCCGGCTTCGGATCGCCGTCACGTTGCGAAAGGCAGGATGACTCGTATCGAGCAATTTCTTGCCTGCCGAAAGAAACTTT